ACACAAATTCATGCATGTCTACGTATTGCAAGAAATGTATGCTTTCGATGACCATTAGTTGTGGTGAGCCACTGGTTTTTCTTTTGCGGTTGCGGTCTGAGGCTTTGGAGAAGAAAGAAGACATTGACTTCATTTAATCAAGAGCATTTTTATATTCAACTTAATATCTTGCTGTCGTGTGTTGAAGTCTTCTTTTGCAATTCTTTAAGGGCCGCCAAATACGATTTAATTTTATTTAATGATTTTCTGGAACCTTTTCTTTTTTTGGTTAATAAATTATTTTTTTATTTTTTTAGATTTTATTTTTCTTGCTAGCTACATTTTTTAACTGTGTGATCTTGTACATTATGCTTACCAATGTACTATTATGCAGCTTGCCCTCTCCCCTTTGGCCAATTTTTTTTACTGACAAAATAAAATCATGTGTTACGGAAATATCAATTGTAACGTTTTTAACGGCTGGAGGAGTTGTAATGGTTAGAGTGTTGTTTGCACCCTCCAACCGTAATTAATTTTGTGTCTTTTTTCTGTGTTTATCTAGTTGAATTCTTAACGCGAACTTTTCGTAAATTTGGTCATATAGTGTTGTCTAAGGCGAAGTAATGGAATGGGTTCCTCAAGAATCTGACATTAAAGGAATTTTGGAATTATTGCACACTTCTCAGTCTAGTGATACAAATGTGCAGCGTAGAGTACAGGAGGTTGGTTCTCTGTTGTGGTTTGATTTTTTTCACAGACTTTGAATTCTCTTAGCAGTTCTCCGGATTTTATAAAGTATCTTACGTTTGTTTTTTCGAAGCTGCATAGCGAAGGTAAATAGTTGTGTTGCGTCTTTAGTGTATTAAGATGAATATACCCGTGCCATGAGCGGCTTGATGCTAAAAAATAATCTATTGTCTACTTATCACAAACATCCTCCTGAGGTTATTGCTTGCATCAAAATGGAGGCTCTAAATTGCATGAGTGATCCTCTCCCTATGATTCGCTCGACTGCCGGTACACTTATAACCACTATTGTTAGTCTTGGTGGTTTACAGTCTTGGCCTGAAGTCATACCCCAACTAATTGAATGTTTGAACTCCCAAGACCAGTTCCTTCTTCAGGTATAGTATTTCTGATTGTTCATGGTTTAGGGGGCTTTCGATGCACTAAAAAAAATCTGCGAAGACTCGAAGGAGGGTCTTGAAGATGACCGTCTTTCTGGAACCTTGGATATATTAATCCCAAAATTTATTCAGTTCTTTTCGCACCCTCAGCCGAAGATAAGGTATCGTAATCCTTTGTTAACATTATGAATCTCAGGTCTCTTGCATTATGCTGTGCTAATCAGTTTATCTCGAACCATTCACGTGTCTTTATGAATCATATAGAGGAATTTCTTCAGGCTCTTTTTGCCCTTGCCGAAGATCCTTGTAAAGAGGTTGTAAAGAATGCGTGTACGGCGTTCGTCTTACTCGTAGAAGTTCGTGTTGACGTGCTACTGCCTCATATGACAAATATTATTGAAGTACGCCTGCATTTATTTTGTTTAAAGCGACTAAAAGTACATTCTCCTTCGTACACAGGACGTCGACGAAGCTACTGCACTCGAAGCCTGTGAATTTTGGCTTTCTCTTTCTGATGTGCCGTTATGCTTTCAAGTTCTAAGTGGCTATCTTGATCGACTTATTCCGGTGCTAGTTCGTGGAATGAAGTATTCAGAAAGTGATCTTGCTTTGCTTAGCGTGAGTATACTTGTTCCCACGAATTTTGTGTTCAGAATGACCTCGAAGACGATTCTCACGTCCCAGACAAGGATAGTGATATTCGACCTAGGTTCCACAAATCGAAGAGTCGAATGCAAAGTGGTGAAGTAAGCATTCCATGTTCGAGATTTTTCATTTTTTTTAAAAGGACGATGACGATGATTATGATGACTACGTAAGCAATTGGACTTTGCGAAAGTGCTCAGCTGCTGCTTTGGACGTACTGGCAAATGTTTTTCACAGTGAAATTCTCCAATACCTCCTTCCAACCACAAAAGAATACCTTCTTTCACAAGACTGGCAGTATAGAGAAGCCGCCATACTTGTCCTTGGAGCAATCGCCGAGGGTAATTATTACTATTCTTCAAATCCAATCTCTTCAGGTTGCATGAACGATATGGTGCCGTATCTTCCTGAACTTTGTACCTTTTTTATCAAAGCACTTGCTGATCCCAAACCTCTTATTCGAAGCATCGCCTGCTGGACCCTTAGTAGATATTCCAACTGGATAGTTGGCCAGCCCCATGATCAGTACTTGCGTCCCCTAATCGGTGAGGTTTGTCACAACTACTCTTTCTGACTAAATGCATAATTTAGCTATTAAATCGCATATTGGACACAAACAAGCGTGTTCAGGAATCAGCCTGCTCAGCTTTCGCCACACTGGAAGAAGAAGCTGGCACAGATTTATTTCCTTACTTGGATCACATTCTTCGTACTTTAGTCACGGCGTTGGGCCAATACCAACACAAGAACCTAATCATACTCTATGACGCAATTGGCACCTTGGCAGACTCTGTTGGACATCACTTAAATAAAAAGGAACATGAAGATCTGCTAATGCCAGCTCTGTTTGCTAAGTGGAACACTTTAAAAGACGACGACAAAGACCTTTTCCCCCTCTTAGAATGTCTATCAAGTGTAGCGACAGCGCTTGGTATCGGCTTTTTGCCGTACTGTGCTCCGGTTTTTAATCGGTGTGTAGCATTAGTCGAGAAAACAATCCAACAAAGCATAGTAAGTGTGCAAGTTACTTTTTACTTCATTAAACAACTTTCTTGTAGTTTTGTAACGCTATGGCTCTGTGGGAAGAAATTGTTTGCCATGTTTAAGAAAAGTAATTTAGGATTGAAATTTCGTATGTTATCTTCAACCGTTACCGATTTTTTATGCCTGTTTTCTAAACCGGTAAATCTCACCTCGTTATCCTTGTATATTCGCATAGTGTTGTGTTATTGTGCCTTCTGGGAATGATAATTATTTCGATATTCTCATCTCTTGTTTGTCTACTGCTATCAAAAACAGTTTCTGACAAATTACTTTTGAGTTGGGTCTTTCTAAAATTACCTTGTGGATTTGTTATGGTTTAACCAACTTGTACATAACTTGTCGCATCGCAATTTGGTTAATTGTTTGGTTTCATCGGCTTAGGATACAAAAAGTGCATTATCATGGCCTCAAAATCAACATAATAAATGGCACGAAGTTGTTCACCCGCTTTCCTCCACTTTTAGGCCCACACTCAGCAGCCTGAAGTCTTCGAGCGTCCTGATAAGGATTTTATGGTGGTATCTCTCGATCTCCTGAGTGGAATTACTGAAGGGCTCGGTAATCACATTGAGCCACTAATGGCCAACAGTCATTTGGTATCATTGCTCCACCAATGTGCTCAGGATCCCCAACCAGATGTACGGCAAAGCACGTTCGCCCTCCTCGGCGACCTTACCAAGGTTTGTTTCGCTCATATCAAGCCCCAAGTGAGCAGCTTCATGAATCTCCTCGCTCAAAACCTGTCTTCAGAGAACATATCTGTGTGTAACAATGCCATTTGGGCCATCGGAGAGATCTGCATGCAAATGGGTGTGTCTCGTCTTTTTACGTAGTTTACGCGGACGAAATGCGAAACTAACTGGTCTCTTTTTATATTCTTGATAACGTTAACCTACAAACGAAATAGGGTATCTGAGGAGTCAACTGTGCCTTCTTTGAACATGCTTGTACCATTAAAAAGTGTTTGAGCAATCACTATTTTCTGAAAAGGTTTTTGAAATAATTTTGCCCACTTCGACTTCTATCCCTTTCTTACATTCATGGCGTACCAACTCCCAGTTTTCAATAATCATACATCCCAATTAAAGCCTGTGCTTGTAAATTGTGACGAATTTCCTCAGATTTCCATGTGAACCCCTGAACTTCCCGGTAATCATTTTTTTTTTATTTGAATGCGCGAGGCTGTTGTCATCACCTTCACTAAACCGTAAATAGTTTGTATTTTATACCGAGGTATTTCAAGTGGGATCTAGTTTTACCGAGAAATAAAATTGACTTTAATTCATCCCCTCAACCTGACCATGTTTTACCACCCAACTTGCACCCTCATCTAGCTTGAGTACTATAAGCTTGCAGTATTTTTAACGTGAATCATGCCTTCAATTTTTTGTGGTTCCCTACGTATTATTGTCTAATATTTGTCAAAACTTCGTCTTCTGAGTCTCATCTGTTGTTATTTACCTATCTGACTTCAGATGATTACTCAGGCAATAGAAAAAAAAACGCTTGGTGACCCAGTTACACTTTAAAGACCCGTATTTGATTACTATCTGATACGGAATTCTTGGCTGTATCATCGATGACTCATTAATGAAGTCCATTGGTCGAGTCTGGGATTGTGCGTTGATGTAGTTGTGGTATAAAGCTGGAAACTTGAAATGGTGAATTTCGCATCTTCCAGCTTAAAAACACAGGGCCTTGTTTTGTGGGGTTACCTAGTGTTGCTCAATTCTCGAGTTTGGGTTTAATAGCTCTTCTTGTGTGTGTGCGCCACATTCCAATACTCAAATAATCTCAATGCGTTCTACGTAGTTTCAAGATAAGGAATTTGAAGTGACATCTGTTCTCGATGCGCTGTTATTTTAACTAAATAAAAATAAAAATTGTGTCGGACAAATGGTGGATAAGGATGAGAAACTAGGAATTTTCTCACTCACCATTGATTTTGTGTTTTTTAACCTTTTCCCCCAAAAATTTGGCTGGATAGGTACACTGTCTATGTTTATAAAAATTCCATTGATTTATGTGAACGAATACTCTAGTCTTGGTATCAATAGTTCATCCTTTCGTTTGGCTCCCAATAGTTGTTCGCCTATCATTTTGCTTTATTCTAATAGGTGGAGATATGCAGCCCTTCGCCTCCCTGTTTATTCAGCCGCTTGTGGAAATCATTAATCGACAAAATGCGCCAAAAACGCTTCATGAGAACGCAGGTATGTTTGATTGGTTTTTGTTCAGTTTTCCACTAACTTGAGTGCCTTAAATTTACTGGATTGAGATACGCCATACTATAATCAAACGTCACATTTCGGATGAATGAAACACATGTCGTTGTATTTAGCTGGATTCATTAAGCCGTGTGGGCCTAGTTAAAAAAGGCAGGGTTTTGTCTAAATAATTGCGGTAAAATGTATAATAAGCTTAATTGGCTTAAATGTGTATTTGCGAAGCTTGATCTTGGGCGTAATTGCTCACTCAGGTTTAACCCGGGCGTCCTCAGCATGCCTTGCAGGCGAACTAGGTCACGCGTTTTCGTGTTCTATGCATCTAAAAATGCACCAGGGGAAATTGTCACCTGAACGCAAATCTGTGGTTGTCAGTTTTGATTTCGCCTAATAAGTGAACTCTGGTGACTCGTTTCCTTTCGACAAGGTTTCCCAACTTAAAACTTCTCGCATGTCTTGTTACCTGAATAAATTGTCATCCGAGCTTATTTAATGTCGTGCAAGTTGAAGTTTTGTGTCTCACCGATTGCATTAATTTGGCTTTGCCTGATGGCAGCGGCCATTGCTTGGCTATTTTGTTCAATCTGCACGTACTTGAAGCTCGAACCCGGTTCACATGTTATTCATATCTTAATGACCACCTTCATCTTCATTTAAGGTGTAAATAATTTGAAAATTCAGCGGTGCGGTATCCAAAGTATCCCTCGCCCTGTCGAACTACTTCGTAAAATATAAATGTATTCTGGTCACGTGTTCACTGTCTACACCTCCGACTTTTCCTGTAATCGAGTTTCAAACTTTGTACACGCTTACGAGATATAATTTTTCCAGTCATTATTCCTATTCGGTCAAGTAACCTCATTGAAAGATAGCCACAGGTCTTCGTGCTGGCGGATCTTGTCGCTGTAAACCTGGATTTTCTGTCTCAAATGCGATAGAAAATTGAATGAAAACTTTCTTTTTGGGTGGCATGAATTTCTGCCTTTGTGTAGTACACAATAATGTCCTCAGTTACCATGGACGCTACTGCTAACGATATCCCAACCATCAACCGAATCCCACCGACTCAGTTCAAATAAGCTTCTGATTAGCGTCTTATCATCTTGATCTACTTTTACTAGTAAGAATTCACTGATTCACTTTTTTCCCATTCTCTAGCCATCACAATTGGTCGTCTTGGATATGTATGTCCGCGGGAGATTTCCTCCTTCCTACCTCTCTTTATTCGCTCATGGTAAGCTACTAGAGTAGCCGCATTGTATAACGATTGCAATATGGCGGTTTACCAGATTCTCAACTGTATCGACTTAGAAATTCGGATAGAAGGGATATATCAAATTCTATCTTTGAGTCTTATGGTCGTGGTATAATTCGGTTTGTTTGGCTTTATTTCGATCTCCTTTTTGCGATCATTGAAAACCTTACACCTTTGACTACCTGGTATGAGTTGCATAGCCTGTTAAAAATGGCCGAGCCA